CAATTACATTACTGATGAAAATTGGAGAATTAGTAACAACTGCAAAATTTCATATCATTGACTCTGAGACTTCATTCAATGCTCTCTTGGGCCAACTCTGGATTCATGAAAATAGTTTGGTTCCTTCGTCACTACATCAATTTGTAAAATATTGTCTGGAAGGACAATAATAATATATAAAAGAAGATTTATAGCCATTTTCAATTCATGAAGTGGGTATTCATGAAGATGCCACTTACTATACTCCTCTGAAAAGGATTGTTCCATCTCCTGATATTACTGCAAGTAAAGTAAAAGATCCAGAAGGTATACAAAGACAAGGTCATTCATTACCAATTCAACGATCTTCTATCACTCCTTTACAACAAGAGGGTGAGAGTTTCTCTAGAACTCATATCCAAGGTTGAGGCCGAGGATGAGGTCGTGGAAGGAACCATATCCAAGGTTGAGGCCGAGGATGAGGTCGTGGAAAGAACCATAGGATTGTTGAACAAAAGAACTCAATTATCAACATTGGTTTGGAAGACAGTTCTGAAGATGAGAAAGTCAAGAAGGATGCAATGACAGTTAACCAGAAGAAACCCCAATTCCAAATCAATCTAGAAGACGAAGAAAAATGTGAGTATAGCTCAATGTATGATCAGATTAATCACTATGTACAAACTGTGGCCCTCACCCCGATTTCTACTCATAAAATTGAGGGTCAGACGATAAAGAAGTACATAGAGCAGGTATGAAAACAAATAATTTTCATTGTAGTTCTTCATCCTCTAGTTCTAGAATCAATGTAGAACTAGAAGATGATATTTCTTTCGAATTAATGGAATTACCCGTTGATTGGTACTCGCCTTGTGTTCAAAATCTTGCTCAGTGTGGTATGGTGCCTAAGCAATGGTTAAGAGATCAATCACAATATTTTGAAAAACTTTGGGATAATAATAATCAAGCATTCAAGTTTAAACAAGGTCTTGGGTTTGACATAGTAGGACCTGTTGATGATACGGAGTTTTGTTTAGTTGTTACTAATGAGCATGATGAAAGTTGTTTAGAAGCTTTCAACAACTATAAAGATTCTACAATTGAAGATGCCCCACCGGAATTCAAAGAAGAGATCAAATCAAAAGTGGATGAGTTACAAGAAATTAACCTGGGTACTGAAAAGCAACTGAGGCCAATTTTCATTAGCTCTCTACTTGATAAAGAAGAATCTATGAACATGATTAAGCTGTTGACAAAATTTAAAGATTGTTTTGCTTGGAGTTATAAAGAAATACCTGGATTAACACCATAAGTTGCAGTACATAAATTGGGCCTAGATCATACTGCAATTCCAGTTAAGCAAGCTCTAGAAGAATGCGTCTTGATATTGAACAACAAGTTATCAATGAGGTTAAGAAACTGATAGATGCTAAATTCATACAGGAAGAACAATACCCTACATGGCTGGCTAGTATAGTACCAGTTAAGAAGAAAATGGACAAATCTAGATTTGCGTGGACTTTAGAGATTTGAATAAAGCATGCTCAAAAGATGAGTTTCCTCTTCCAATTCTAGAATTAATGGTGGATATTGCATCATCCCATGAAATTTTCTCCTTTATGGATAGATCGTCTGGATACAATCAGATAAAAATGGCTCCATAAGATAGAAAATTCATAGTTTTTTGAACGCCAATTGGATTTTATTTCTATATAGTAATGCCTTTCGGATTGATGAATGTTGGTGCAACATACCAACGAGCAATGACAAGAATTTTTGATAACCTCATTCACAATCAAGTGGAATGTTATGTGGATGATTTGGTTATCAAAAGCAAATAGAAAGAAGATAATTTGTATGATTTGAAAATTTTTTTTGAGCGATTATGACAATTTAACCTTAAAGTGAATCCCCTAAAGTGTGCATTCAGTGTGACTTCTTGGAAAATTTTAGGGTTTGTTGTTTGTCACTGCGGGATTGAAATTGACCCGGGTAAATTAAAGCTATCCTGGAAATGCCACCCCCTAAAATTTAAAGCAATTACGATCCTTTCAAGGGAGGCTGGCGTATCTAAGACGCTTTATCTCTAACTTGTCAGGTAGGTGCCAACCTTTTTCTGCATTGAGTAAGAAAGGCACAAAGTTTACCTAGGACAATAAATGTTAATGTGCTTTCGAAAGTATTAAACAATACCTGACGACACCTTCTATTTTGGCAGCCCCCATTTTGGGTAGACCTTTATTACTTTATACCACGGCTTGGATGACTCCCTCGGAGCCCTGCTAGCCCAAGTCAATGATGAGGGTATAGAAAACACTCTTTATTATTTAAGCCGTCATTTAATACCAGCGGAAGTAAAGTATCCTCCGATTGAGAAACATTGTTTGGCTTTAATCTTCTACATGCTTTCTCACATATTTAATGACCTGATCGACGCTTTCCGGCAGGTTAGTGAGGTGTGCCATGGCATTATTGTCTCACAAAGTTAACCTTATTTCAAAGTTTAATCCATTGAAATATTTAATGACCTGATCGACGCTTTCCGACAGGTTAGTGAGGTGTGCCATGGCATTATTGCAATTTGATATAACTTTCGTTCTGCTCCAAGCTGTAAAAAGGCAAATTTTGGCAGATTTCCTCGTAGCGCACCTGTTACCCACTGATTTTCCTCTCAATGATGACTTACCGGATGAGCAAATATTGAATTTGGAAAATTCCAAGGCTCGATGTTGGGAATTATATTTTGATGGAACTTCCTCAGAACAAAGGGATAAAGAATTGCAAACAATAATACCTGGTAAAGCAGGAATCAGGTTGATCTTCATTACATCAGAGCAAATAATGTTAAAGTATTCTTACCATTTAACAGAGCCATGCACAAATAATGAGGCAAAATATGAAGCACTAATAACAGGGTTACAATTGGCAATATTGATGGGTATAACCGACATTAATATCAATGGAGATTTGCAGTTAATTATTCAACATGTTGATGGACAGTATAGAATTTTGAAAATCAAATTGAAACAATATCACAGTTATACATTGAAGTTATCGAAATAGATTCCAAATGTGATGATGTACAGAATCCCAAGGAGAAAGAATACTCTTGCAGATGCTTTAGCTAGCTAGCCAAGGAATTTGCATGTCCACAGAAAAAAAGTTTCATCGAGATAACATCGAGATAACTGTTCAAGGGCTTCAAGTTCTATCTCAAATTGATATCGATACTTTGGATAAATTGGGTAAAAATGAAAAAGTAATGAAAACTATAGAAAATGTAGAAGATTGGAGTAAACCTTTTATAGAATATTTGCAAACAGGAAAGTTACTGGATGATAAGTCAGTGACGCATCATATAAAGAAAAGAGCCTTTTCATATGCTTTAATAGATAATGTTCTTTACCGAAGATCTTTTGACCAAATGTGGTTGCGATGCGTGAATGATTCAGAAGCTCAAGAAATTGTTAAAGAGGTACATTCAGGACTTTGTGGTGCTCATCAGTCAGGTCCTACAATTAAAATGACAATCAAAAGGTTGGGATATTATTGGCCTGCGATGATGACCGACTGTATGAAGGTTGCTAAAAGTTGTCATCAATGCCAAGTACACGGAGTGGTCTTACATCAACCTCCAAACATGCTGCACCCAACAATCGCGTCATGGTCGTTCGAGTGTTGGGGTACAGATATAGTAGGTCCTATAGACCCTCCATCTTTGAAGGGGCATCTATTCGTACTCGCTGTAACGGATTATTCTTCAAAATGGGCAGAGGCAATACCTCTTTGGAAGTGAGCACATCATGTTCTGCAGTTCTTCAAAAATCAAGTTGTTTATCATTTTGGAGTACCATGTAGAATCATATCAGATAATGGGTCTGCATTCAAAAATACAAAAATCAATAACTTCGTCAGAAGACACAAGATAGATTGACGTTATTCTATAATTTATTACCCAAAGTCTAACGGATTGGCTGAGGCTTTTAATAAGACTCTCGTCCAAATTCTAAAGAAAACGTTGGATGAAAATAACAGAAATTGGTACGAGCAGTTATTAGAAGCCTTATGGGCCTATAGGACTATGTTCATAACTCCAACTCAGTATACACCTTATGAAATTGTGTACGGGTTCGAGGCTATGCTACCTTCAGAAGTTCAACTTCCATCTCTCAGAGTTGTCATCGCCAATAAAATTACCACGAAAGAGAATTCCAGATTACGACAAGAAGAATTAGAAAGTTTGGAAGGAAACCGACTGATAGCGCAACAAAATCTAGAATTATATCAAGCTAGACTGATTCAAGCACATGATAAACTGGTCCACCCCAGGAATTTCAAAGTCAATGACTTGGTTCTTGTCCTTAGAAAAACTATTCTTGCACATCACAAAATAGGAGGTAAATTTGAACCAACCTTGGAAGAACCATTCTTTGTTGAGAAGGTTTACTCTGGAGGCTCTTATCAATTAATAAATTGTCAAGGATAACGACTATGCTTCCTGTCAATGGACGATATCTGAAAAAGTACTATGCGTCATGATGTTTCGAAAGAGAAAACTTTATAAATATAGTCTTGTTCTTAGAAGCACTTATGTTCTAGTTGTAATTGGGTACGAATAAAATTGTAACAAAATATACTTGAATATAAGAAAATAATTTTAAAATAAATTATATCTGTATAATTCTATGTATATGGCATGACACTCTTTTCTCTTCCACACAGCCCAAATCTTTAAAGTAAGCCTAATATATATATATATATGTGTGTGTGTGTGTGTGTGTGTGTGTGTGTGTGTGTGTGTGTGTGTGTGTGTGTGTGTGTGTGTGTGTGTACGTAAATGTAAATTAAATATGTACATAAGAAATATATTTTTTGTAAAATATATGTACATAAATACATATGTAAATAATTAAAGAATTAATATTATTCTTGCCAGAGCCCGGTCTGACATACTGATTGTTTTCCTGTTTTGGTGCAGGAAAATGTAAGGAGGAAGGATGATTTTTACTTTCAAGAATGGCATGTGTTTTGCCCTTAACAAAGAGAAGTTTGAAGGAGGAGTGATTGAATTTGATCTCAACTTTGACCAGATTGAGCTGGATTACGAAAGTTTGGCCTTAACCGTGGTTAATAAAGAAGAATTTTGTGAGCAAAAGCTTGTGCTAAAATTGAGGAGTAAGAATCAATTGACCGCTGCGAAGAAAAGGAAGTTTAAAAAGGTTGATGAAGCAGAATTGAGTAATGCTGTGATTAGTTGGATGAAGTCAATGGTAATGACTTCAAAGGGTGAGCTTGTTGGTGCTACCCCTACCGCATGCAGAAGAGAAATCGAAACCGCCTCATCCATAAGATGCCGGAGCAATTAAAAGAACAAAGGGAAAATGAAGATGTTATTACACAAATGATAATTAATTTAAAAGAGAAAACTTCTGATCAGCCAGTTGAAGTACTACCTCAACCCATGAAGGCTGAAGAAAAGACAATTTCTAAGAAAGAAAGGACTGTAGAAAGTTCTATGGAAGTGGAGCCTTACATTCCTCAATTTGTAAATAGAACACTTCCTTTACAAATTATTCCGGAACATAAGTTGGAAAAATATGAGAAAGTAAACAGAACTTTGAGCATTTTCAGAGGCTTCATGGAAAGTGTGTTAATATACTTGAAGGATTAGAATTGCACACCAATGTATTCACTAGCAGCTAACAGGATAATATTGTGAAGCGTGACTTTTTGGAAAGAGAAATGGGCCAAGCTGGTTTGTTAAGAAGAAGAACATGTTCCAAGCCCAGGAAGTGGAAATGTGGTAAACGAAGGGTTACAATACAATATGGTTGCTGTTATAATTTTGCACATGACAAGGAAGGAAATCTGCCTGGAATAGTTTGCCATGACGAAGTTGATCCTTTACCGTCATTCATAAAGAGGATGATTAAACGATTGGTGACTTGGTGTATCTTACTAGCAGATTGTATTCCCAATAGCTGCATAGTTAATATCTACGAGGCTGGTGACTGTAGTCCTCCACACGTTGATTATCATGATTTTACGAGACCATTCTGCACGGTCTCATTCATCAACAAATGCAACATTATGTTTGGGATAGAAATCCAGATTGTCGGCGATGGAGAATTTTGAGGTTCTGTAGAGATCCCTTTACCTGTGGTATCAGTTTTGGTTCTGAAAGGTAACAATGTTGATGTAGCTAAACACTGCATCCCTGGAGCACTATATACGTGAGTTTCTATACTATAACTCTCAGGAGAAACTCTCAGGAGAATGAATGAAGACAAGGTGTCATTCCGTTTTAGGCCTGATCCTGAGATAGAGAATTTACAGCCTTATGAGCTATAAGTTGTTTAAAGACAACACACCTCAGTAGATATTTAGGAAAAGCTGCTTTTATTTTTCCGATAATATGTTAGAAGGTGAGGGTAGTCTTTATATAGCTTACCATTTTGACATGGATACTGAAAGTAGATCGCCAGTTGGGTGATATGCAGATTTGATTTAGTGATATGTGTCTAGTATTGACATATGGAAGAATATTCAGATATATGGATCATTCATATGGTTCTGAAAGATATTTTGATTATGTCTTCTTAAATGGAATCAAATAGTATTACATTTGGTATCATATTACATTCCTGGCATGACAATTTAATGAAAATGTGTTGAAATTTCTTTTCACAATTGTGAGTGCAAATTTGGGCAATTAATTGAGAAGACAAATAAATTTTGGTTTCTCTCAATTCTGAGAAAGGCTAAAAACAATTTTGAGAAAGGCTAAAAAGATTCTGAGAAAGGCTAAAAAGCAAGAACGATGTGTAAAATAACATATGTAATGAATTAAACAACAAAACATTTTAAAAAAAAATCATGAAAATTCCAAAGAAATAAATCTTTTTGTTTTCTCACCACAAGTTTATTGTTCTTATACTTATGTAAATTTTGTATTTTCTTTTACAACATTGTAAACCTTACAAATTTCACATTTCCACAAGTCTTCGGATCCTGGGCATTTCATACTTCATTTTCACTTCATTCTCATACGATTACACATGATTCTTCACATCTTTATAAATTAATGCGGTTATCACATTCTTGTACAATCTGACACAATATCTCACATTTTGAAACAAATTCCTATACTCACGATATTTCAGGATTGATACAGGGACGTCGATTCCTTCCACCTATTTTACACATTCACGATATTTCTGAGTCGGTGTATGGATTTCAATTCTCATTCTGGGACTGGTACTCACATTCCAATTCCCATCTTGGAGTTAGTACTCACATTCTGAGTCTTTCCTTGAAATTTGGTGTAATATCCTTAATGGTTGACATTCTTTGACTAGATCTATTTCGGACATAATATCCCTGGTGGTAGACCGAATCGATGTAGTCTTTCCTTGAAATTTGGCTTAATATTCTTAATGGTTGCCATTCTTTGACTAGATCTAGTTCGGACATAATATCCCTGGCAGTACCCTGAACCAGTATAGTCTTTCCTTGAAATTTGGCGTGATATCCCTAATGGTTGCCATTCTTTGACTAGATCTAGTTCGAACATAATATCTTGGGTGGTAGCCCGAATTGGTATAGTCTTTCCTTGAAATTTTGCGTGATATCCTTAATGGTTGTCATTCTTTGACTAGATCTAGTTCGGACATAATATCCCTGGCGGTAGCCCGAACCTGCATAGTCTATTGGTATAGTCTTTCCTTGAAATTTTGCGTGATATCCTTAATGGTTGTCATTCTTTGACTAGATCTAGTTCGAACATAATATCCTTGGTGGTAGCCCGAACCGATATAGTCTTTCCTTGAAATTTGGTGTGATATCCTTAATGGTTTCCATTCTTTGACTAGATCTAGTTCGGACATAATATCTCTGACGGTTGCCCGAACTGGTATATTCTTTCCTTGAAATTTGGTGTAATATCCTTAATGGTTGCCATTCTTTGACTAGATCTACTACGGACATAATATCCCTGGAGGTAGCCCGAACCGGTATAGACTTTCCTTGAAATTTAGTGCTACTTCGGAAATAATGTCCTTGGCAGTAGCCCGAACCATTATATTCTTTCCTTGAAATTTGGTGTAATATCCTTAATGGTTGTCATTTTTTGACTAGATCTAGTTCGAACATAATATCCCTGGTGGTAGTCTTTCCTTGGAGTTTAGCATAATCTCCTTAATGGTTACCATTCCTCAACTAGTCTCAGTTTGGATATAACTTCCCCAGCGGTATTCCAAGTTAGCCTGGTCTCTACCTATTTCACTTAGGTTAGAAAAGAATTCCACTTCGACTCTATAATAAATCCTAAGACAATAGACGACATTTATTCGACTAGTTTCAGCTGGGATATGAGTTCCCTAGTGGCATTACAAGTTGATATAATCTTCTTGCTTCACTTATTTTGTTACATCATTTGGGATAAGGTTTAATCTTAATTCTTCCTCCACACATTCTTTGATATTATTGTCAAATGTGGAATCTTTCCCTTGCACATATTTTAAAAATCATTTGAAAATTCAAATCCCACAGCAGTTTGAAAATTCATATACCCATCCCCAAAGAAATCTTACTTCACTTCAATCCTATCTTTGGTGTGTCCCAAGTATGGTTACTTGGACATTCTTTCAAAATGTTGTTGATCGTTTCAGTCAACGCCAATATGCGTGACATGCTGATGCAGCACACCACACCTATTGGGAGTCCATTTGTTGACCTCAAATTTGAGGTCTTTCTTTCTTTCCCTCTTCCCAGAACCTAATATATAGCCTTAGGGTTTTCTATTTAACTCTCTTAGAGGACTAGACCGGAATCTGAAATATTTAGAAATTCAAGCCATTTCTTCGCTCCTTGAAGTTTCATATGGACAGTTTCTGATTCTTGACATCTAGTTAAGTCGATTAAATCCAACATATTGAAACTATTGTTGAGTTCCCATAGGAATTTGAAAGACATTGGTGGACACGATGATGCGTGCAACGTTTGACTTGCCATCGCGAGCGATGTGTTTGACTATGGTTGTCATTTAGGCAAGGACTGGTCAACATTTTTTATTTTTATTCGTTGAATAGCTCTGATCAGACCAAAATAATTTTGTTTGAAGCACCACGTGCGAATTGAACTTAATTTGGCGCGATTGTTGATGAATTTGTCCAGATGATTCTGGATGACGAAATGGACTGCGCCGTCACGTCCGAAACATCGATTTTAGATTGGAAGGGCACCCATTTTGTTGGGTTGTTGCGCACAAGTGAGTCGTACAAAATTCAATATTTTCTTTTAATAAAAAAAATAAATAATAAAAATTTTTTTTAGTAAAAGGGGTTTTAAAACCCCTTTTTTTATTTTCATTTCTCTCAAAGCTACCCCTCTCCTCTTAGGACTGAATCATGCCCTAGCCAAATCCCTTCTTCCCTTATTTTCTTGACTGATTCTCAAGGTTTTCTTGTCGGTCTTCTGGTAATCTTCCTCCTTCCCGACCCTCGTCACTAGTTGCCTTGTCGGTTGCTTCGCCGTAATAGGTTTTTAACGGCTTTTCCCACTCGAATGGATTTGGTAACCCCCTATTTAAATCTTGATGAATCTCTTACCCTTCAAGGGTGTTTCTCATCACCTCCCTTTTTTCTCACTGTCGGTGAGCTCCTGTCCTCTCGATGGCTATAAATACCCCTTTGGGGGAAGCATTGATGGCTGATTTTTTTTTCTGGAGATTTCAAGGAGACATAGTTTGAGAGCTCATTCTCTGTTGGGAGTTTCTGTTTCAGAGTTTTTCTTACTCTTCTCATTCTTGAGTTAGCAAGGAGTTAAGGTCAGGTTTTATTTACTTCTAGAATGTTGTTTAATTTTTAGATTAGATGTCCATGCAATAACTTCTTTTGGATTATGAGATTGGTAGATCAAATGGAAATGATGTTTTAGTTTGATCGTCTCTTTGATGAAGAAATAAAGTTTCCTCATGAATATCTATATTACGGCTGCCTTTACTTATTCATACTGGAGATAAGGCAGTAGATTCTTAGAAGTTTGCTGGAAAGATATATTGAAAATCTTAGGAAATATTTGAGTTCTTTTGATTACTGTTTTCTCGCATGCATTGCTTTAACATGGAGACCCTTGGATTTATTTGATTTATGAGAGATTCTGTTTTTGAGTTGGTTGGGCATTCAGTTTTGTTTGATCTTGGAGGTTTTGTTTTGAGCCTCTCAACTCTTCTATGTTTTGAAATAAAGATTTGTGGATTTATTTAGTCTTGGGAGTTTGGATTTATGTTTCCCGCAGCTCCCTTTATTTGAACTTCAATATTGGAAATATTTTAGTGGTTTGGATGGCCATTTGGTGGCTCAGTTTTGGCTTGGTGGTGGTCTATTCTTTTGTTCATTTGTTGGGTTTGACTTAACCCTTATGTGGGGCTCAATTTATGTTTCTTGTAATTCCCTTTATTTGAACTTCAATATTGGAAATATTTTAGTGATTTGGATGGCCATTTAGTGGCTCAGTTTTGGCTTGGTGGTGGTCTATTCTTTTGGTCATCTGCTGGGTTCAAAGTTGTCCTTATGCTGGACTCTTTTTAATCCGAAATTCCTATTAGTCATTCATGTTTACCTTTCTCCTCTTTCTTCAATAATTTGTTATTGGTGGAATATTTTGTTCAACAGGATTTTCTTCTCCATCGATTATACAGAGTTCCTTTCTCTTAATGCTTGTTTTGAAATTTATGGATCATGAAGGGCTTTTCTTGGCTATTAGTTAATGGATTTGTAGGGAATACTCATTTTCTTTTAGGGAGCCAATGCTTTATCTCAACTATTACAATTCTTGTGCACAAAGCATGGTTTCATTCTTCAAGATGGAGAAGTTGATCTCTGTAAGGGTATAAAACTATTTTGACATCAAAATATTTGTTAGGCTTGAGGTTCAGGCACGATTGTTATTCCATTTCTTTTCTTGTCAGCTTTCCTAGAATATTGATGTTATGGATGGTAAAAAAAGAGAGAGCTCAATTCAGATTAGAGCTAATGAAGTTTTGAATCCACTACAAAAGTCTTCAGGCTATTTTGTTTTGGAAAGAAAGTTATAACGAGCTCTGTTACTTTATTGTAATGTTGGTTTTGTTTTGC